CCCCAAAACCCCAAAACCCCAAAACCCCAAAACCCCAGAATACAATTTATCCTGAATAATATTAAAAATGGATTCTGACGAAGGCGACGCTTTTGATAAGCTCATTGACCAGACTGAGGAAATGGATGTGACCAAGATCAATGCATCCTACTTTGACCAGAAAGCAGGTACTCTAATGGGCTAAGATGCCTGGGTGATCCAGCCATCATATCTTAATGCATCTTGGATATAGATATGAAGACATACCAGTCTTTGGACAATAAACTAAAGGAGATCTCACAGAAATTGAGTGTTCAGAAGTTAAACAAGCTCAAGAATTTCTCACTTGGTAAGCTCCGGAATCTAATTTCTCTTCTGTAGTTCGTGACTTAGTGGACATCATCATCAGTTCTCAGAACAGCTTCGAGTCTTTAAAAGGAAAACAGAAAGAACTCAAAGATTTAGAGAAGTACTTGTCTAAGATATGTAAGGAAATCCTTGCTTTGAAGAATGACGATTTCCATAACTGTGTCAGTGGCATGAAACCTCTCTACCTCAAAATCAAGGAAGTCAACTTAAGACTCGAACAAGTTGAGAACAGGAAAAACGAATGTGAGCGGTCTCTTAAAGACCAAAGCGGCATTGATGAGATCAGACAACTAGAGTATAACGCACTTTATTACTCTGAACTTGAGAGAGGATTAATGCTTTTTGAAAGGTATGAAGGGAAATTTGCTCGAGTGAAAGAATATGAAAATAAAAATAACTATATCATGTGCATACTTAAGCTCCAAGAGATTGACAGACTATACCAATCGAACATTGTTGAACTCAACGAATTCCCTGACTTAGTCAAGATCATCAAATCGAAGGTTGAAGAATGGAACAAGAAAATCAAGAGAGAATTAGAGAACAAAGTGTTATCAATCCTTTTCCATCGAAAAGAAGGTAATTTTGAGAACCAATATAGATTTTCCATCAATTCTTGAGACAACTCTCATAGTCAAGAAAACAAACTGGGTGCAGGACTCCAACATCGAAGAAGTTGAGGACTTCTTCGATCTTGTCGCTAGAAATGTGTTTAGCCTTAATGATAGCATTAAGCTCAGCATTGCCAAAACTCTGTCTAGAAAGAACAAAGAAGACGACATAATGAGCATGCAAAGGATTGTCAAGAGGTACATTACAATACAAAAAGAAGAAAATTTTGACCCTAGAGATCCAGATTATGAGGAAAACCAGGAAATTATCCAGAAGATTGGGATCTTCTTTGATGATCTTTCTGACCCTGAGATTATCTATGTCAGAAAGGAAGCATACCTCACGTCATGCTTTGCAGCTCTGAGCGAGCTTAATCAAGGGAATTCAGGAGGATATCAAGAGAAGAGATCATCTAAAATTCTGATAGAAAATGTTGATCTTGAGTTCATCTCTCAAAATTTGTTAAGAGAGTTTCCTAAAACTCTAATGAATGCGATTAGGCTCATAATTAGCAAGCTCAACTACAGAAGTAAGAATTTGCTTGTAAGTAATAGATAAATCTGGAGGAAGAAGAAGAAATTACGGGCGTGAAGAAAATATTGACGAGGATCTAGGTATCTCATTACTTATCAAATAGAATTCACTGATGATGTTGAGTTACAAATTTTCAACGCACTGATTGGAATCCCATTACAAATGCTCAACCTCACATCTTCATTCCTGGACAGTCTGTTTCATTACTTGCTCTGTCTCTTTGATAACTTTGTGACTATCGCAGAAATCACAGCGAATTCTCAGCTTGCAGATGAAGCATTTAATGGAATCCAGTATTACATTAAGATAATCCTGCAAGCTTTGTTTGATTATGATGATACCCTCCAAGTGGTAACCTACCTTTTCTGACTAATAGCAAACCCAAGATAAAGAGAAGAAGAACTTCAGCGAGAGAATGACAATGGGTAAGCCCAGAGCTGATATTTTTAGGCGGAGTTCACAATTCTCCCTTCAAGAATGAGAATCGGAGTTGCACCTTCATTTTCTCCTCTGAGGAGGAAAGCCACGAGTTTCTGAAGAATTCTATCAAAGAACAATTTGACTTCTATCAAACTGTTCTTAGTGAGCTCACTGATGGGTTTATTCGACCAAATATTATGTACGCAGGGTTCTTTGGGTGGAAATGTAATGAATTCTTACAAAATTTATCTGATAAAGCTAAGAAGTTGATGAACCCTCACTCTCAATACAAAGTCTTTGTCCTCTGGAACAAGCACTTTATTGAAAGTTCTCTTGAACTTTTAGCTGAGAGATTACGCAGCAAAATAGAGCTCTTGACTGAAGGATATGTCTCACAGAGCTTCAGAATCTTTACTGTTGCTCATAAGGAACAATTTGAAGAACAGAGTGATGGTAGAATGATCCAGAAACCAAACATCACTAGTAGTAAAGATCTTAGCAGTAGAAGTTTTGAAAGCATCAATGAGTCTGTATTCCTTTATATGGATACATTGAGTAGATTCTTGAAATTCCTAGGCTCTCCTGTGAAATCAAATCTGCTGTTCAAGACTTCAAGATCAGCAGAGGAAAACTATACAGATTATACTACTAACCTACACCAAACATTGGTTGATAATATCTCGATGTTTTCTAGAAAGCTGGAGTCTTTCTTCAATGAGCTAGTCAAGAACACTCATTTTCCTGGTTCAAACAAGCTTGAGAAGGAATTCTTCTCAAAAGATTTCTATGAAGGGGAGATAAACTCTGTAGAATTCATCAAAACTGTTGAGAAGACGATAAGCGTAGCTGCATCAACTTCAATAGACGTGATTGGTAAGCCCAATTGTGGTTAGAAATATAGAAGAAGAGAAGCTCTCTCGAGAGGGCTCTATAGCTTCTGGCAAAGATATTGTATATGATGAGTACTGGAACTCAAAACAAAACAAAAACGAAATGTCATTCCTACAACTTGAAGGGCTAGAAAGTATCACTGGAGGAGGAAGCTCAGAGGAATATTTGGAGTTTCTTAAGCATCCAAGGTTGGCCATAGAAGATAACTACCTTAAGTCTGATATTACTCTGATTACTTTAATGATCGAACTGAGTTGGAATCTAGGTGAGTTGATTAAAGGGCTCAAGACATTTGAAAAGGCCACCTCTCATAAGCTGTCTCTCCAGAAAACGCTCAAACCGATTATCACTATCTACAATAATTGTAACATCTTTCTTAGATGTGAAATCGTTGGAAGAATCTTCTGAGGTTTACGTGAAATGGTTTATACAGATTTCAATAAAAAGTATGGTTCAAAAGGAGCAGAAAGCTTTGGTAATTTCGTTTGCAGAGAAATTAAATATTTCTACCATCTAACTCAGCAACTTGGGCTACGCGGAAGTTACATAATGTCTGTGGTTCCTCGATTGGTAGCAAAAATTTTCAGAACAAACATCAGATATATCAAGAACTCAACTATCAATGAGAATGGATTCAACTCTTTGGAGACTACCTTTGAGTATATCATAGCAAGTTTCAAAATCTTTTCTAAGAGTAAGCAAGTTATCAAGAAATTTAGATGATCTGAAATCCATTTCTGCTCTCAACCAATGTGAAGTTTCGAAGACAAAATATTTCATTCATTTGTTAAGTCTGCAAAAGAAAGAACTCATCACCGAAATAACCGAAAACGAACAAAACTGCACAATGATGGAATACAACAGTATCCTAAGTAAACTCTCTAGTCTCATCCACAGATATCCAAACTCACAGAAGAGATAAGCTGAATGATCTTGAGAAGAAATCCTTACTAAAAATGGTCAAGGAGCGTACTAATGACTAAACATCTGAATGCCTTAATGCCAGAATCATCAGATATTATAACATTCCAATATCATATGGTATCATTGGGGTTTTGGGGTTTTGGGGTTTTGGGGTTTTGGGGTTTTGGGGTTTTGGGGTTTTGGGG